GATGGTGGAGTGATGGGCTCGCCAAGTTAGCAGCGCCCATGAGCAGTTTCTTGGGGTTAGGTTTCCTTGCTTAAGGGCAGATAACTTATGTTATGAATTGGCATTATACAAATAAAACTTAATTGAATTGAATTGAATTGAATTGAAGAATATGTTTAATTAAAATCCACACAAAATAACTTTTTAACTGGGTCAAACAGTGCCCAGACAGTGTTCTTTTTAAGAAAAAACATACTGCTTTGTTGTTCATCATTGTGTGTAGGACGTTAATCTTAAACAACAAAGTTTAAAACATGTGGGTGCAAGCCTCCAGAGTTTGATGAAGTTGTTCACATAATAGCAGTTATTTGTGGATGAGTCAATGAGATCCATGGAGGGTGAAGAAGTCTCATAAAATCTTTCCCATGATTCAAACTTCACTTTCTCAGACATGGAGATTAACTTAATGCATTTCCTGGTCAGGTATCTGTAAATGGTTTAGACACTCAACTACATTTTCTGTGTTATTCATATTGATGTTTTTTATACAATCTGCCTGTCTTATTCATTAATAGTTTAATTTGTGACATTCTTCATGGATGATGAACTTAAAGTAACATACATAACTCTTGATGCTGAAGACACGTTACGCATCATTTCAAACTCAGTTCTTAGATTTGTATTGTTAAAATGCACTAGTCATTACCACCACTAACCACAGGTGTCACCATATCAAATAGAACTGACGTCTTCTTAAAGCAACATTATGTAACTGTTTTACTTTACCATTATAGATTCAAAATAATTTTGATGGCACACTGACTTGTAATCGCCTCAACTATGTCAATAATTTTGGTGAGATGGTCAAACTCGACACTATAGACGGAACCAAGCAAATGGGGAACTGAACCAGGCTTAGCAACCTCTTTGGAAAGAATGGCAGAGGTGAAGAGACCGAAGAGGACATTGACATAGGAAGCTAAGAAGAAAAAAGGAGAGAGTGCCCGCTGGGCCACCGGATAAATCTCGGACTGGCTTTTAGTAGTTGGCGAGGTTCACAAAATTAAAGGTTGCAAGACAAATGCTGAAGTGGCCTGCTTACTGTCAGACTGCTAAGTAATATTAGATTGTCTTTTTTTGTTGACTACTTGATGTTCGGCTATATTAGTTTTGTTCAAAAGTAATTTAATCATGCCAAATGCATGTCTGCAGCGGTTTATATTTACAACAGTGGTGTATTTGTGAATTTCACTTTGAAACTGTAGGAGCACCAAATTGCAAGAAATACCCATTCTTGCATAATGTTTTTTTGAATCAGGCCTCCAGAGTTTCATGAAGTTGTTGATACGATGATAACTCTTGGTGGCATTAATGAGATCCATGGAGGGTGTAAATGTCACATAAAATCTCGATTCAGACTGTTCACTTTCTCAAATATGGAGATGAACCTAATGCATTTCCTGGTCAGGTATATCTATATGAATAAGAAAATTACATACGAAATCTTCATAGTGAAACTTCTTTTCTTTAGTTTTTGTATTCCTCTTCTACAATCTGCCTATCATATTGATTATTGTTTAATCTGTGACAACATTAATGGATGATGAATTAAATGTAACATATTTAACTCTTGACGGTTATGTGGAAGTTCATAAATACAGATATCTTGTATTTTTGTGATTATGTTTACAGAATATATTCTAAATAATCTGCTAGTAATCTACTAAATTGTTTATTCTTATCCTGGATTCACCCAAAAACCTCCATCGAGCCTATGTACATTTTCATTGCAGCTTTACTGTTCAACTCTATCATTTTCAGCACTTCTATTTACCCAAAGCTTTTGATTGACTTTTTATCTGAGAATCAGATCATATCATATTCAGCCTGTCTCTTTCAGGGTTTTCTGTATTACTCTTTAGGTTGCTCAGAGTTCTTATTGTTGACAGCAATGTCCTATGACAGGTATGTGTCGATATGTAAACCTCTGCAATATCCAACTATCATGAGGAGAACAACAGTCTATATTCTGTTGGTTTTAGCCTGGCTTCTGCCTGCTTGTCAGATTGCAGTGCCAGTAGCACTTAGTGCTAATACCAAACTCTGTAACTTTACTTTGAAAGGAATATTTTGCAACAATTCAGCTTACAAACTTGACTGTGTGGCCTCAAGAGCGCTACTGTATATGGTCTGATTATTCTGTTCAATGTTGCACTTTTCCCTCTGCTTTTTATACTTTTTACATACACAAGGATATTCATTATATCCTACAGAAGTTGTAGAGAAGTCAGGCGAAAAGCTGCAGAGACGTGTTTACCCCACTTGTTGGTTTTAATTATCTTATCTTTTTTAAGTGCATATAATACAATTATACTTCGAGTGGAGTCTGATTTTCCAAAAACTGTGAGTTTAATAATGACTTTACAAGTGGTGTTGTATCATCCTCTCTTTAATCCGATCATATACGGGCTAAAAATGAAAGAAATCTCCAAACACCTCATAAGGTTGTTCTCTGTGAAGACAAATTGAACAAATTTGTCAAAATTGACATCTAGTACAGTCATTTCATCTATAATACAAATTCAAATATCTTTTGTTTTTTACTGTAAACATTTGTTTCTTTGCCTAATATTGTTGTCATTACTGATATCACGATATAATCATACTATATTTGTGATCATCATTATTGTATTTTATGTGTCTTAATTGTATCCGTTTCTATTTCTTTTATACATATTTCATAGTATTGTATTATTGTATAGTCTATGTGTCACGGCCCATCGGCCGTGATCCTGGCCTGCTTCATGCAACTGGTGGGCGTGGCCGCTCCTGCCTCCACACCTGTGGCTCATCACTCTACTCAGCACTCCTGTTCCTCATCACCATCAACTCACCCTTCATAACCAGGGGGCGGGCCTTTCGTCCCCCTGGTTTGGATGGTCGAATCATCTAGTATGGAGACAGCCAGCAAGCGGAACGTATTTGCTATTAATTAAGTTAACCTGTTTGCAACTTCGTTTTTCCCTTGTCTATTCCAGACCCAGAGCACTGGAGCCCGGACCCCATACCCACTCTCTGTCTCATCTGCATCTCTGGCAATCTCCTTTTTGAGACTTCTAACTCTGGTCTGCACTTGAGTCCTTGTCACCAGCCCTGACACTTTGAGGTTACGGCAGGTTTCCCCCCCAGATCGTGCTCATGACCTTTTTGAGGGGACAGTACCCGTTGAACTTACTGAATGCTTTGGATTGCTGTTAGCCAAGAAGTACTTCACTTTTGATGGTTTAAATGAACTAATTCAGGCTTTCCCATACAAGTGGGGGGATAAAACAAATTGCCCTCATTTATTGCCACGTGCTTTCCAAAGTAAAAAAAAATATTGGTGGCAACTCACATGAGAATTGGTGTTTATTAAGATTAATACCACTGATTGTTGGAAAACTAATTCCAGAGGAAGAACCAGCTTGGCAGCTAATATTAGATTTGAAGTTTATTGTTGATCTGGTTGTTAGCTCTGTACATACCAATGAGTCAATTGCATACTTGGAGACTAAAATATCAGAGCACAGATACAGGTATTGCACGCAAACTGCTACCAAAGCACCACTACCTGGAACATTATCCAGCACTGATCCTTCTCTTTGGTCCATTTGTTTCTTTCTGGACTCTGAGGTTTGAATCCAAGCACAGTTATTTTAAACAAGTTGTGAGGCATACAAACTAAACGTAACACTGTCTTTCTTTGGCCACTAAACATCAGCTCATTATTGGCCATAGTATGTTTTCATCAAGCTGTGAAAAAAACACTCTCGAGGTTACACAAGTCTCAACAGTCCCTCTTAATGTCCTTAAAAAGGAGGTAGCAGTTAGCCTCTTTCAGAAGTACCCAGATCTTACTGTTGTTAATCTAGCACAGAATGTATCTGCTGATGGGATCAACTTCAGAAGTGGAATGATCATAGTGCATGGATTTGTTGGTGGACTGCCAGATTTTGCCGAAATTGTGCAGATGTGTGTTTT